TTTATTCTTTTTTTCTTTTTTAGTTTGGATCACCTTTTGTGAATCAAGATTAAATATTGTCTCTCCAATCTAGTTAAAAGACAAGTTTTTGATATCAAAATCAATATAAATTAAATGATTGTAACTATTTTCATATATTCGTGTGTTAGATTGACTAATAGATTGGTAGATAGACTAGTATCATATGCTTTCTCCTTGTCCCTCGGCATCACTTTTCTTCCTCATGCACTTGTTGATTGTGAGAAAATTCTTTATGAGGATAGTTAGGGCATAGCTTTTTCAAGATTTTGTAATAGCAGAGTTTCAATCTAGAGCTATGGCTCTCCTTTAAATAATAATAAAAAAAGCTAATCATAATTTATTCTCTCCACTAAAACAATATAACTATTATACTCATTGCTAAACATTTATAAAATGAGAAATAAGGTTTTAATTAAAGTGGTGACCAATTCGATCTATCATAATAATATGTTTAATGACAAAAATTGCTATTGATTTATTACAATTTGACAATTTCAAATCTTTATTATTAATTTACGTAATTTGAATTTTATCTAAATTCGTTAATTGTAATGGTCAAGCCAAATGATTGTTATTTAATATATATATATATATATATACTTTTCCTTCATTTTTCAAGAGAGATTTTTCTTTTTAAATTTTTCACCTATTAATCCCTTTGATTTTGCATAGTCAATCAAATTGTTATTTGTGTATAAATTTTTTATTATTAAAAAATAACTTTTATGTAGTATCATTATCCATTAAAACAATCAACTTCTATAATTAATAAAATACAAATATCTATTGGTTGAATTTAATCAATTAAAATGATCAAATAATTAATTTTAACTTAAACTTTTTTTGTTTATACCAATAAATTTATTCTTATGATTGTCAATCATTAAATTTTAAATATGATCGTATTTATTTACTATATATTTTTTTATCTTTACATGTTTTATAAGACTTTTTTCTCATAATTGATTCAAATATATAATATGTATTTAAAATTATTATTGTTAGAAAACCATTTTCTCAATTTTGTTCTTATTTTATTTTATTTTTATTTTTTTAAAGATGAGTTCAAAAAGTGAAAATTCTTTTACAGAGAAAACAATAAAAAAATTAGTGATAAATTTAATAAATATTTTATTTATTTATAGATAAATGGGTGTGAAAAAAATTATCTCTTGAAAATTGAAAGAAAGACATTTTTAATGTTGTTTTTAAATTAATAACAAAAAAATAACAATAGAAAAAAAATTAACAATCAACTATATTGACTATTAAAATTAACGGATTTGGATACAATATTTTGGAGTTTCAATTATGTAAATTGATACTTAAAAATTTAAAATTGTAAAATTCCAATAAAAGGCGACAATTTTTGCTGTAAAATCCGTGGTAATATAATGTTAACTATTAATTACTACCATTACTTTTTTAACATAATAATTGATATTAACTGTAAGGTCCTATTAAAAAAAAAAAAAAGGCTTGAATTGGCTTTTACAATTTTTGCTATCATTTAGATCATATTATATTCTCTAACTACGAAGATAACATATAAAACATTGTAACAGACATTAGACATTGAAAAATCTGACATGAACCCTAGAAAAGCAGGCAGTAAGCCAATGAACAAAAGAACCTACAAAATAAAAATTCCACAAACCGAGGTTCCGCATACCAAAATCCGTGGCTTCCAAGTTCCAAAATCTATTTTGACCCACCCCTCTAAACCCTTCTCAACCGTCGGATCAAAATCTCACCATCATACATACACAAGCAGCCCAACTCAAATTAATCCCCAATTGTCAAGGCATTCTCAATTTTATCTCTAAACAAAATATTTTTCCAATTGAATCTCCATTTCTAGATCAAAACCATTTGGAAAAGTTAGTTCTTGACACTTAATAGATATCCTCCACTGGTTTTCATCCATTAAAATGTGGTATTCATATTTTACACTCGAATAAAAAGATTTATGAAAAAATATATTTTATTTTATTTGAATTCCATGCTGAATCATGCTTTATAAAATAAGTGATATATTCACTCATTGCTAACTGGGCCAACCTTCGAGGTTTTGAAAACGATTCGGAAGGACTTTAGATTGAAAATTTTTATGAATCTTTTAATATGTATTTGAGAAAAAATGTTTAGAGACCAAATTAAAAATATCTTGATAATGGTAGGACTAAAGAGAAGTTTGCCCAACAAATGAGAACCATTCAACAACCCCACAGCTCTCACTACTTAAAACGCCACCACTCCCTCTTCTCAATCGCCGTCTCTCTCTCTCAAACAACCTTCCCAGAGCCAATCTCTACTTTCTCTCCCTGAAAAATATGGCAGGAACCGGAGTAGTAGCAGTCTACGGCAACGGAGCAATAACAGAAACCAAAAAGTCTCCATTCTCCGTCAAGGTAGGCCTGGCCCAAATGCTTAGAGGCGGGGTCATAATGGACGTAGTCACCCCAGAACAAGCCCGTATTGCCGAAGAAGCAGGTGCTTGCGCCGTCATGGCACTGGAACGAGTCCCCGCCGACATCCGTGCACAAGGCGGTGTGGCACGCATGAGCGACCCTCAGCTCATCAAAGAAATAAAACAGGCAGTGACCATCCCTGTCATGGCGAAAGCCCGAATCGGGCATTTCGTCGAAGCCCAAATTCTCGAAGCGATTGGTGTCGATTATGTTGATGAATCCGAGGTTCTTACACCAGCTGATGAAGAAAATCACATTAACAAACATAACTTCCGCATCCCTTTTGTTTGCGGGTGCAGAAATTTGGGTGAGGCCTTGAGGAGGATAAGGGAAGGTGCAGCAATGATCAGGACTAAAGGCGAGGCGGGTACTGGGAACGTTATTGAAGCTGTTAGGCACGTGCGGTCTGTGATGGGAGATATAAGGGTGCTAAGAAATATGGATGATGATGAGGTTTTTACCTTCGCCAAGAAAATTGCTGCGCCTTATGATTTGGTTATGCAGACAAAGCAACTTGGGAGGTTGCCTGTTGTGCAATTCGCGGCGGGTGGAGTGGCTACTCCTGCTGATGCAGCGTTGATGATGCAGTTGGGATGTGATGGCGTGTTTGTTGGGTCCGGCGTTTTTAAGAGTGGGGATCCAGTTAAGAGGGGGAGAGCTATCGTGCAGGCTGTTACGCATTATAGTGACCCTGAGGTGCTGGCAGAGGTGAGTTGTGGGCTTGGTGAGGCTATGGTTGGGCTTAATTTGAATGATAAGAAGGTGGAGAGGTTTGCTAGTCGGTCGGATTAGGAGTGGGGAATTCAGTGTGCCTCAAGGTGAGGTTCAAAGATCTTGGTGCTTGGTAGTAGTCATTTTATTAAGATTGTTGTTTTTTTGGATTTTATGTTTGTTTTTCTTATGATAATCCTTGTACTTTGTTATGCTTTAGATTATGTTATTCTTTTTTTATATGTATAATTGGATCTTTGGTGGTGTTTTTTTTTTTCAATAATCAAATACATTGCACTTTTTATGCTCTATCTCTAATTATTAAAAGCTTGTGCCTTTGCACTTTTTATGCCCCATCTTTAATTAATTAATAGCTCATGCCTTTGCTCAGTTGATGGCTTTTGTTTGTTTTCTGCTCTATAACAATGAATGCATAGGTTTGGAAATTGTGGTATGATGTTTGGGATAATCTGGATATTGACATGTTTATGTGTGTGGTCCTTGATATGGGACTGAGGCATTTCGTTGAGTCTAGTTTGGAGTCGTAAGCGAAGAGAAAGTGCTGCGGTCACTGGTGTTTAGTTGCTTCTTTACCTTCACTCTTGTTACTATAAGATTTGACAATATGCAGAACATTTGCATGATTATACAATTTTACTTATGCTAATTTATCTTTAATTATGTTAACTTTGCTTGGACTGAAAAAATTATGTTATTGAATTTTGTTGAAGTAATATTAAGTAAATGCCAATGATTGATGTTTGTGGACATGTTGCTGTTTTCTATTAAAGATTTTGTTCTCTTTTCAATTTTAAGAAAGCTAAATTAGTTGATTACTTATATTCAGGGACCTGTTCTTGGTCCAGGAGTTGTGACCATGCTCAGTTTGAAACTGCTTTGAGGCGTTAAGTTTGCATATTTGCTGCATGACGCTTTAAGAAATGAAAAAGAAAATCTTATTGTTTGCTTTGGCAATTCGAAACTTTTTATAATACATACTAAATCATCATAGGCTGTATCTGGGCATAGAGCTTTTTGACTTCGTAGCAGGTTTTTGCCCTCAAAAGGACCGAAAAAGAAAAAACACTAGTGGGAATAGCTTACAATTGTCCAAGTTTTTTTGCCAAGTCGTTGGCAGTTTAAAGGGTTTGACTAGGAATGGCTTGGATATGTGTCTTTAAAAAGACACTACCTATGCAAAATAAATCTTGGATATGTGTCTTTGTAGCAAGCATTAGGCGAGACCTTAGGAATCTCATGGCTTTGCTTTATGCTTCATCTTTAAATTTGAATTTTGGCATGGATTACAGGATTAGAAATGCTACTGATTCACAAATGCTCCTTTCCTACCCCTCCTTTCCAGGGATATATATTTTTTCACTCTCGTAGTATCTCATGCAGTCGGTGAGAAGTCTTTGGTTATTTAAGAGTTGAGATTTCTCAAGTTTTGGTCTTGTTCTTGATAACATTTAGGCCAACTGGTCACAACGCACTCTGAAAGACACTTCCAGGCACTGAGCCATTAAGACAAGGACATGTGTCCTGGAAGCTCTAAAACATAAGACAATGATCAAGGGACTTAATTGCAAACCAGGAAGAGGATCGGAATCCAAATCAGAATAAAAACCAGTTAGCTTAATATTTATCTGTATTTGCTTGCATAACATTTAGCACTGCTGAATGTTCATAGTTGTATTGTAGTTCGTCATTTCTCATGGTTGTAACATTACAGTGGTAATTCATGGTCGTATGTGTTTCATTAGGTATCATCTCTTCATGGTTACTGTTTTTCTCAATTTACTGATTCTTTCTAAAGGCTTTATAAGTAATCTTACAGAAATTATTTTCAGCTATGAAGAATTGAAGATGGTGGAGAGCTTGCTGATCTTGTTTGATTGTATTTTCTGCAGGAGTCTTCTCTGATGCAGCTGTGTCCAAGTCATTCAAAAGCAGTTCACAAGCACACTTGGCTACTATGTGTAAAGCATTTACCAATTGGGGATCTTTTCAATCGCTTGTAGTTTTTCCTTTTTTCCATCCAATACTAGGAACACCACAGAGACAATACTCTAATAAATGTTCTTTTCTTTGTAAGACAATTTATTCTTGGTTTAAATCAACTTTTCAGGTTCTCAGATCTTGTTTGATCTTGAATGTTTGATTTTTTAAAGCATGTGGCATTCAATTATGTAAAGCAAATGTGCCTTTCGCCTCGTCTTTTGACAAGCCTGCATGATTCTTACCTGCCTTTTGGAATGTTCGTACATTTTGAACTGCGATGGCAGCTGGGATTTGGGATACAGTGGCAAATGTGTTCGTTTAACATGCTTTTCTGTAGCCAGCATTAGATGTTAGCTAAGTCAAGATATGCTTAAAAAATGTTTGGTCTTGCTAGCCAACATTAGCATGAAAATACTACCTCAAACGTTTACAAATTTTGAGAGGCATATCACATAATTTGCCAATCAGTCGTTCTTGCCCACGGCTTGCAAGAGTATGAGCAATCGAAGGAAGAAATAGGAAACACCACCTATGGTTGCGTATCGCAATTTTTCTGACCCTTCAACAGCTGGAAAGTCACTATCTGCAGAACGATTGAAGCCTCCAGCCAGCCATCCCAATTTCTTGAATCCTCCGTCGTACAATTTCGAAGCTGCCATCAATGACCTGAGGATAAAGCATATGTTGGTTATAGAACCACGTCTTTCACTTTTTTTTTGGGGCTAGTATCCTGTTTCAACAAAGTTTTCTAAGAAACACAAACACCAATCTTTTCTTACCTTAGTCCTTCACCACAAGCCACAAGAAGCTTGGCATCCTTATCAGGAACCCTGGCCTCCACTTGCTGGAGAAAATCAGGATTCAACGTGGTGAAATTTTGGCCAGTCCATAAGCCAACGTAGCCAAAATGAACCCACTTCTTCAAAAGCGTTATGGGACTATTGTCCATGTCCTTGACAAAGAGTGGCACGTGCAATGACCCCGCCACCCGTGCCTTGTCTCTCTCCCAATCTGGTCTGATGTCCAGGAGTATGAAGCCTTCAGAGCTCATTGCCATGGCTGCCTCCTTTGCTGGTATTGGCCTAACAACACCAGACTGTATTAGCTCCCTGGCATTTGTGGACGCCGCTTTGACTTGAAATTTTGTTGGCCTGAGCCTGGTGGAGATAAGTGGAGGTTTAGGCTGCTTGTCATGCTTAGAAGGGTATGCACAGAAGTGGTTAAGTTGAAGTGCCATCTCTCTCTCTCTCTCTTTCTTATCATCTTCTTACTTTTGTCAACCTATTTGCTCGAGATATTTGTTAGTGTTGTTTGCTTTCTTTTATTTTCACATTTATATTGATTCCCAAAATTCTTTGCAGGGACACCCTTGGTAGCGTAAAACTAAAGAGCCCATAACAAGAATCAATAAACAGATTTGATGAAGTACAAAGATAACAGCCAAGAACTTTTGCAAAAAGAAGCATTCCAACCAGACATTAGGAGAGGTTAGGCTAAAAGCAAATCATCTCAAAAAGCTTATCAGGCAGGCAGAGCAAGCCAAGAGAGTTGAGACAAATTAAACTCCAAAAGAAGCTCCTCAGCTATAGACATATAGCAGAAGACAAATCAATATGAGCATATGAGCAGGTCTAGGTAACAGAATTAAAAAAAAAAAAAAAATGAAATCATAGCAAGTCAATTTGATCCAGCAGAAGCTTTCGGAAAAACAGTCATAATTATGCAGAGACCATATATGTCAACTTTACATCATATAGATGTGTGTATCTGAAAACATTACCAACATCACAATAAATAATCTAATTAGCTTAGAATACATCTCCAACACTGCCATAACATTTTTTTTTCTGCAATTAAATTTCTGTTTTCCGTTTATGAACCTCAGGTCACATTAGACATACGTGAAAAAGATATAGAACTACAAAACAACTATATTTATCTTCTATTTAAAACTTTCAAAATATATGTCATTGTTTTAATATCTCTACGTGTCTCTTATGTGATCTAAAAGTAATTAATGAGATGAAAAACTTAATTATAGAAAAAAATAAAGTTGGAGACCTAGAAAAAAAGATGGGAGATTTTTAGGATATTTTTGTAACCAATTAACCTTAAAATAACATGAAGAGGGGGATTTTGATGTTCTGAATTTTCTCCATTAAAATTATTAATTTATCTATCACATTTATTTATTGTAAGAATGATGAGGCATAAATGTATGCCACCAAAAGAGGCATTTATTAAAAAAATCGTGGAACCACTTGTTAGGCTAATGTCTAAACAAAAGTGCCAACAAAAGGCAATTACCCAATCATTTTGTAACCCATTATTTAACCTAGTTAGTTGCTAGCACATCTAGGCCTCACTTTCCTCCTACCTTTCTACAGCTTTCTCCCTTTCATGGTTGCTTTCTACTACAACTCTAATGTCACTGAGCAGTGAAATATAGTAATCAATCAAGCGAGAAGAATCATCGTCCACTGTTGTGTTAAGGCGAATCAAGGTCATTTTATCAGTTGGAATGCCCCAACGGTCCATGATTTTGTCCTTCAATTCTGCCACTGTAATTGTCTCTCTCACTCTCACTGCTTTCCAACCATTCTCTGGAAGCCCAACCACAAGGTCAAATTCTGGATTCCCAGATAAGGGACTAACGTCAAGATGAATTGTTGCCTCTCCTTTGTATCTGCATTCTTCAAGTGTGAGATAATCCTCCAACTCTTCAAGATAATGGCTACCCCTAAGAGTTAGCCTATTCCTGTTCAAATTAGTTAGCTCGGTGATCTTCTGCTTCACCTCACCTATAGTGTACAATGGGAACATTTCGATGGCAAGTGTCACCTTTGCTCCAACAATTGTGCACATTATTGGGGCCATATTAACAAAGTTATTTTATGCTTAACTAGTTGCTGATCGAATAAAATGTGTAGGTAGTTCTGTGTAGATTTATAAATTCAGTATCCATCCATGCTTGATCATTTGAGGAAACAAGATGGTGAAGTGCATGTTCCTTTCATTTCCAAATATATCTGTTGAGGTATAATGAGACTCTCATGCCTCATCACATAATATTCATTTTCATTTACAACCTCAAACTCTTTTCTTGTGATTCTATAGTCCCCCAAGTGGAAAAAAACATACGGCACTTGTGGAAAAAATTATATTATACAATTATTATTATTATTATTATTATTATTGTTATTTTAATAAGAGACGATTATATTGAGATGAAAATTATTTACAAGAAAGTGGGAGCATGTGGCCAAAGCATGCGGCGCATGTAGAAAAAAAAAAAAGAGGGAGAGTAAATTATTTTAGATTTTCAGTCCCGTGTTTTTTATTATATATATATATATATATATATATATATATATTTAATCATCTTGCCTCATCACATGCGGCACATGTAGAGAAAGGCAACCATTAAATGCAGGGCATGAAAACGTTTAAAATCAATATTTATCCCTTTCTACGTGTGATCTTTCAAACCAAGACACTTACCTCCTCAACAAGCTTTGCCATTTTCGTATAATTGGCAATTGCTGGACTTCCAGGCATGTCAATCTCCTCCTGTAAAACACCATGGGGTGGATCCCAATTGCAATGATGCAATGTATGGCCTATTATAGATGTGACCACTTTGATGCTTAGCTGTATGGTGGGCAAGTGCGTCTCGGGAGCAGGGATGGGATTTGGCTGCTCCGCCTCATTTGTCTCATTTTTTTTCATTAAAATTATAATTATATCTTATATAAAATCTATAATTAGTGACTTTTAGGGTTTATTTTCTATATAAATTATCATTTTTTTGCTATAATTTAAAATTTGATAGTAGAATTGGATAAAATGAGACAAAAAATTAAAAAAAAATAATTTTCACCCCGTTTACGCCCCAGCTTGCCCCTTGGGGATCCCCATCCCCGTTTGGACCGAGGGATGGTACGGAAAATTTTACCCCATTCGGAGCATGAGGCAGGGACGGAGAAAATTTTTTAAGGGCGGGGTGGGGGGACGGGGATGGTGATCCTTGTCTTTGCCTTGCCCTATTGCCCTCCCATTAAGAGCTGCGAGTTGCTTCGGATCACCAAAAGTTTTTTTTGTTTGTTTTTTTTTATATATTTCTTTTCGAGAAAGTATATTTTCATAACATATATTTAACCTAATTTTTCATATAAATTATGTAAAAAAAACCTAATCAATTTTACCACTTATCTTGTTTAATTTATTCCTTCAGTATAAAAAAACAAAATTTTTGAAGTAAAATTCAAAGTTTAGCAATCAACTACATCACATTTATTTTATTAATAATCATCAGTAACAAAAACAGTGTCAATGCATGAGTGATTTATTCAATTAATAATTATGAAACTATTATTAAGCATAGTTTTAAATAACAAATTTTACATAACAAAATGATCGTTATTTAACAAAATAAGCCAAGAATATTATTATTTTTTGTTATTATATATGATATAACTTTGATTCACACAAACGATTGTTATTGTCGTTTATTTGGTGAATAATAGTCCAAAAAATGATTGTTATATTATTATTTCAAAAAATAAATTTATTAATAAATATTAATGTATTTATGATATCAATTACTATAATCATTATTTTATTAGGATAATAAATGGTAGCTCGTGGTTGCAATTGCAAATCATTTTTACAACCATTTGCAATTTGTTACTATACTATTAAGCTCATGTCTAAACATGTGTCAACAGAAGGCAGTTGCTCAATAATTGTTTAAACCACTTGCTTAACCTGGTTAGTAGCGTGCGCATCTAGGCGTTACTTTCCTCTTTCTACACCTTCCTTATTTTCATGATTGCTTTCTACAACTCTAATGACACCCATCAATGAAATATAGTAATCAATTAAGGAAGAAGAATCATCCTCCATTGTTGTATTAAGGCGAATCAAGGTCATTTTCTCGGTTGGAATGCCCCAGAGCTCCAGGATTTTGTTCTTCAATTCTGCCACTGTATATGTCTCTCTCACTCTCACTGCATTCCAACCATTATCTTGAAACCCAACAGCAAGGTCAAATTCTGGATTTCCAGACAAGGGACTAACATCAAGATGAATTGTTGCCTCTCTTTTGTATCTGCATTCTTCAAGTGTGAGATAATCCTCCAACTCTTCAAGATAATGGCTGCCCCTAAGAGTTAGCCGATTCCTGTTCAAATTCGTTAGCTCAGTGATCTTCTCCTTCACCTCACCTATAGTGTACAGTGGAAACATTTCGAAGGCAAGTATCACCTTTGCTCCAACAATTTTTCTAAACGATTTTATATATTTTATCTAACCAAGACAGATAGAGCAGGTAAAAAATATAATACTATATACTAAAGAAAAACCATTTTTCATCGTAGCAATGAACATTGTTAATCACTGTTCATTGCTATATTACTTTAGCTTTTTTTATTTTTTAAGTTTTCATTTTTTTTTTTGCCAGCACCCGCCGGCCTTCCCCCTTTTTTTTACCCGTTTATTGTTCATTTGAATGGTAAACGGCTTGCCATCTTTTTTTTTTTTTTTTCTCTAAACACTATTTTTTTTAATTTCCGTCCGTTTACTATTTACATGAACAAGTAAACGGCTGGCCTCCTTTTTTTTCCTAAACATTGAATTTTTTTTTAATTTTAATTTCTTAATAATATTAGGTGTTAAAATTTTAAAAGAACCAACAATTAATTGGGTGTTAAAATTTTAAAGAACTCAATAATTTATTTGCTTTATTGTTTATTTCTAAAATTGAAAAACACAAATAAGAAATAGTTAAATATAAATTTTTTTCATTTAAAAATTATAATTATTTTTTATCATAAAACAAATTATTAAACTCGAAATAATTTTTCTATATGATTTTATACATTTTATTCAATCCGCAGCGTAGCGTGGGTAAAAAATCTAGTAAAACTAAAAGAAAACGACAAACAATTGTAGCAATTTCACTACGAATTAACTATTCACAACTTCTTCTTTTTTTTTTTTTTTTCTTTTCCTCCCGCTTGTCGCCCTCTTTCTCGTTTCCTTCTCTTGCGCTTGCTTTTGGCTTTTAGCAAACTTTGTTTTTATTTTAATCCCTTTTTTGTAATCTTTTTTTATTTTGATCATTAAAATTTTATTATATTTGATTTTTATCCTAATAATAAATATTAAAATTTTATTATATTTGATTTTTGTTCCTATAATAAATTTTTTTTCTTGTCTTTTAGTAAAAATTATGTTTTTTTTGTCCATATTTTGTGATATGTTTTTATTTTTGTCATTAAAGTTTTATCGTATTTGATTTTTATCTTTATAAAACTAAAAGAAAATGGCAAACAACCGTAGCGATTTCACTATAGGTTAACTGTTCACGCTTTTTTTTTTCCTGCTTGCTACCCTCTTTTCTTTTTTTCTTATTTTTTTTCCTTTTTCCTTCTCTTCCGCTTGCTTTTGGCTTTTAGCAAACTTTGTTTTTATTTTAATCCCTTTTTTGTAATCTTTTTTTATTTTGATCATTAAAATTTTATTATGTTTGATTTTTATCCTTATAATAAATATTAAAATTTTATTATATTTGATTTTTGTCCCTATAATAAATATTGTTTTCTTGCCTTTTAGTAAAAATTTATGTTTTTTTTTCGTTCCTATTTTGTGATATGTTTTTATTTTTGTCATTAAAGTTTTATCTTGTTTGATTTTTATCCTTATAATACTAAAATTAAATAAAGTTTCACTATCCTAAGCTTTTTTTTTAGCTTTTAGTGAATTTTTTCTTCGTATTATAATTCCTGTTTTTTGATTTTTTTCTTTGTTTTGGTCATTGAATTTAGTAGCATTTTATTTTTGTTTTAGTCCCTATTTTATAATTATTTTTTATTTTGATCATTACATTTTTATTATATTTGTTTTTTTCCCTACAAAGAAATATTTTTTACTTTTAGTAAAACTTTTTGTTATGTTTTGGTTTTTATTTTGTGATCTTTCTTTTATTTTGATAATTGAAGTTTTATTATATTTGATTATTATTCTTTTTATACTAAAATTAAATACAGCTTTCAATATTCTAAGGATTTTTTTTTGGCTTTTAGTAAAAAAACATTTTCTGTTTTGGTTCTTATTTTTTGATTTTTTTTTATTTTGGTCATTAAAATTCTATAATGTTTTACTTTTATTCCCGCCTTATGCATAATGAGTTTTTTTTTAGTCTTATTGTTTATAAGTTTTTTTTTAGTGAATTTTTTTATTTATTTTAATCCTTCTTTTGTGATCTTTACTTTGTTTTGATTATTTAATTTTTATCGTGTGTAATTTTATCTCTTTTTTTTTTTTTTTTGCCAAATTCTCGATTTCAATAAGTTTTTTTTTTTGAGTGATCTCTCTATCTCATTAATAAATTACGGATGAAGAATATATGGTAAAATTAATCATCTAAATTTCAAAAAGCCGCCACATCATTATTTTAGTTATGAGTTATTATACATATTTCTCATAAAATATATGTTTATGTAAAACAATATCTAATTAGCAATTTTATATTATTCAACTTTGTAGACTTTTCGTTTAGCTAACCTTACGAGCAAAATATGAGATATATGTTTTTTTTTTTTTTAATTTTTGTGTGTGTGATCGTTTTAAATAATTATTTTTGAATTTTATATTTTATATGAATAAACACATAAGAATGTTGAATAGCTCACCCCGCAAAGAATGTGCGGGATATACGCTAGTACCAACCGGACATTTACGATAACATTAACGAGTGAATTAATAAAATTTAACAAAAAAGCTTGATCAGTAGATAGGTGAAAGTTGAGATATATATATATATATAAGATAAAAAATAAAAGTATAAGCACTCAAATAGTTAAAAATAAAAGTAGAGACATTAAATAGAAATTGGATGCTTGTTGCACTTCTATGGGTTTGCGGATTTTAACCATTAGGAATGGCAATGGTGCGGGGTAGGGATGGATGCTCTCGAAAAACTCTGTCTCGTCCCCATATGGGGCAGGGGATGGAGATCCCTAGGGGGCATTGGTGCCCCGCTTAATTTTTTACATTCGCTCCGCTTCATTCTACCTTATATTATCTTGTATCAAATTTTAAACTATAGCAAAATGATAATAGTCTATATAAAAAATATAATTAAAAAAGCTAATCATTTAACATCATATTCAACTACAAGTTTATAACACAATTCATAATATATTAAATTATTTTCAATCGAATAAATAATATACTTAATTAAATTGATGAAGTATTACCAATGCAATTAAAAAACATAAATTCTTGCATATTTTTGTTGTTTAGAGATTATTAAAACTCACTTATTATATTGGAGATTAGTTTGTAGCCTCAAAGTTTATATATATGTTTGGTATAATTGTAATTACTAAAGAAAAGAGCGAGGACGGGACGGGTAAAATACCATCCCCATCCCATCCCCGTTCAAATTCCCCGCCCCGTTCCCCAATCAACTCGAAGAATCCCCACGTTGACCCGTACGGGGAGGGCTAGGGCCTCGTTGGGACGGGGTAAATTGCCATCCCTATTAACTATCGTCTTGTACTTATCTCTTATGTAAGTCGTTTTGAGAGAGTAAATTATAAATTAGTCGCTCTAGTTTTAAAAAATAAATAAATTCATCTATTTTGTTTTAAGAACTATTACTCAAATTTTTTTTTAACTGATATTGATCATGTTTATTTTTAATATTATTTTATTAATAAAATGTTTTTTTCATCAATCTTTCTATATTTTTAACTTATTTTTTTATTTCTTAAAACAAAAAACTAAAATATAAAAAAGAGAAAGAAATTAAATTAAAAATAGATTTAAAAATATAGATATCGAATAGTTAATTTTTAAAATAACAGGAACTAATTAATTGATTTCTAAAAAAAAAAAAAAACTAATTTATAATTTACTCGTTTTGAGGCCCACATACATCTTTGAGGTCTCAGAAGATATTCTAACGAACACCCATCCCATTTTTAAAGTCAACTTCTCGCCTTAGCCCTTCACCACAAGCCACAAGTAGCTTAACATTCTTCTCAGGAAGCTTGGCCTCCATGTGATGGAGAATTCATGATTCAACCGCGAGTCTTTGGCTCGTCCGTAACCCAATATTGTAGCAAAATGAGCCAACTTTTTCAAAACACTAATGGAACTCTTGACCATGTCCCTGACAAAGAGAACTGTGTTGCCTATTTTCTGTCAAGTTCACTTTCTTTTTTGTTCATTTTTCTTAACCAAGGAGGACCTCTATGCAGGCAAACTAAAAGAGGCCTGGAGTTACAAACATCCAATATATGATTCAGGCTACAAAGATATTAGCATAAAATAAAAAGTCCACACATTTTGATGAAGTACAAGAAATAGATAGCAAATGTATTGGAGGACAGCACTTTGATGATTTAGAAGTAAGACAATAGCAAAGAACTTTAACAAAAAGAAAGACTCCAACAAAATAATAGCATCAGTGAGGCTAAGAACAAATTATAATAACTAACAAGCTTATCACGTAGATTGGGCAAGCCAAGAGAGTTGAGTAAAAATTGAACCCTAGAAGGGAAGCCTACAGTTATAGCAAGAGGCAACTGAATTTGAGCAGGTCTGGATGCATGAAAAAAGAGGGAGCCAATTCAATTTAGCACACTAATCTTGTAGAAAAGGAACTGTCCAGAGCCAAAAGAAAAAAATGATTGAAGTTTCAGAGAAACCATCCAACATCCTCATGACATTATACTTTTAGAAAGGCAGATCATTCTTCGATACGCAGAACATGACTATAATACAGCCACAGTAATAAAGTTTGAATCACCTTCTCTAGGGATCAGTTAGCCTCATTTTTTTTTTCACTGTTTCCACAACATGAATGCAAGTACCCTCAGAAATATAATAATCAGATAAGTAAGAGTCATCTTCCATTGATATGTTTAGGCGATTCAACATCAAGGTGATTTTATTAGTGGGAATGGGCCAAAGCTTATTGATTTCTGCCTTCAAATCTGCAACTTTGTCTCTCCCCGTCACCGAGATTTTAGCGTAAGGGTCATTTGCATGCTTGACCAAAACATTGAATCCCGAATCATCAGGTAAGGGACTAACAGCAAGATGGATTAATGCCTCTTCGGAGAAGCCATAAGATTCAATTGACCGAGAATTTTCTAATCTCATTTCTGTACTGCAACAGGTAAGAATTTGCCTATCCACATCCAATTTTGTCATCCCATAAATATTTTCCTTCAACTCATTTATAGTTGAACTGGCAGAGATTTCAAAATCAAGTGTAACTTGCCCACCCACAATCTTGCACTTCACAACTGCAGAGGCAATAATAAAATTGTACTTCTTTGTTTATGCTTATACAGTCACTGAAAATGGTGGTTTTATTTATATATATATATAGATATATAGGTTTATAGACACACTATGCATGCTTGAAGGAAACAAAATGGTGAAGTGCATGTTAATTCATGTCACCTATATTTTGTTCTGGTCTAATCTTAATCTCATTCCCCATCACGTAATATTTGTTTCGAAATGGTAACCTCTTCCTCTTTTCTCTTTTGTTATTTTCACTTGTTGGTTTCGAAGTCCTCCGCTTTGAAATGATTGTACAACTATGAAACATCCATCAGCCTGTTAAACATCCTCATGTAATAAACTCTCAGGAAATTAAAAAAAAAAAAAACAAAAAAGGATCATTCGTAATGTAGTTACCGCTTCATGGCCACATCAATGCTTATTTAAATTGAAGCTCTGAACCATCAAGAGATGTGGTTCAACGGTAAAGAGTTTGTTTTGATTGATCAAAATCAAGATTCAATTTTCATTATTCATATATAACTATTTATAATTATTTTTTAGCGACGTAAGATTTGGGTTAGTTTGACTTAAAAAACAATTTAATAGTTAATTAAAAATTAAATATGTTTTGTAGTTGGTTTTATTCAAAAAATGATATATTTAATTTTTGTTGATGTAAAATTGATTAAAAATACCATATGATATGTAAATATCAAAAAATAAACAATAAAATAGTAGTATTTTGATATTTGGGATTTTAATTTTCCATTCAGAATTTATTTATTGAAGAATTATAAAGCATAAAAAATATGCCAATAGAAGGTAATTATTCAATAATTGTGGGTTTCACATATTCAAACTTGATTTGGATACTTTTATATTTACTTAGGAAAATAACGCCGTTATGTTTCAAATTCGAACATTAGTTTTAAATTCAATGAGTATGATCCGGTTAGAGAAATAAAAAATAAGGAGTTGAATTATTATTATTTTTATCATACACTAAATTTAATAATTTAGATTTAACGAATGCAATAATTAAATTTCTAAGGAAACATAAAAAGATCTGAATCCATTCAGACTAGCTATTAGTACAAAGATTTCTAAGATGGTTGCTTTCTCTTGATATCAATTAGCCTATTTTTTTTATTGCAACACAACATTAATCTCAGTATCCTCTGAAATATAGTAATCAAATAAGTGAAATATAGTATCAGCTGGAAGAGACCACAGCTCCATGATTTCATACTTCAAATCTCCCACGGTATGCGTCTCCCTCACCCTGATCGGAGACAAAGGATTATTCAGGCAATCGATCAAAACATCAAATTCAGAATCTTCAGGTAAGCGAGTAACTTCAAGATGGATTATTGCCAATTCTTTGTAGCCATAGTGTTCAAGTCTGCGATGATTTGAAGATAAGTTCTCGGTAATCTGGTCATGGGAAACCTTAAGAGTTAGCCTATCCATACCCAATCTGGTCATCTCGGCAATCTTCTCCTTCAACTCATTTATAGTTGAAAAGGGATACATTTCAAAGGCTAGCGTAATCATCCCTCCAACAATCTTGCATTTCACAAAGGCAGGGCAGGGGAGGCCATAATGAAGTTTTACAAGATAAGTTCTCTTTGTTGACTATTGGCAGCTAGTTTTGTAGGGGTTTATAAAAACACTATGCGTGCTTGAAGGAAACAAAAGGATGAAGTTCATGTTGAATTCATTTAAACTACATTTTGTTTAAGTATACTCATAGTCTCATTCCTTCTCATGTAATATTTGTTTCGAATTGGAAGCCTCGCGATTTCTCCACTCTCATTTTCACTTGCTGGTTCTCAAACTCAAAATCACATGGTTTAACAAATACTTCTCTCTTTCCTCTCTTTTTTATTATATATATATAAACCCTATAAAGGAGAGCTGCAAGTACTAGCTAGCTAATTTTTTTCGGCAAAATTAATTAAGTAATTATCTAATTTTATTAGATATAAATATAGTTACGGCTGGGGGAAAAAAGAAGAAGGTAAAAAAATTCCTTCATTAAACCGTCATTTCCAAGATGGGATGGTACCTAATGAGAATGAATGTATAGTTTTAGGATCCTAAGCTGACCTGAAAAAATATTAAGATTTTTTAAAAAAAAAAAAGAAAAAAAGAAGAAGAACCCATTTCCAGTAACCCTTTTTACTCACAACTGTAACCGGGCCAAATACCGTAACTTCTCAAAATCATCAACATTCAAAATCCCTATTTTTTCCCTCTCTAAACCCTAATTTCAATTTTTTCCAGTGACCTAACCCTGAAACTTCAAAATTAGGGCTTTGAATTGATTAAAAAATCTGCGGTGGTAGCGATGGTGGAATCGGGTTCAAGAGAAAGACTAGCGAGTCTTATCAACTCAGTCAAGTCTGCCACTGACATACCTTCAAAGCTCGAAACTTTGCGTCAATTAAACCGAATTTTGCAACAACAAGAAAATGCTAGTTCAATCTCTGAGTTCCTTCCTCTAATTTTCGAGTTTCAATCTGATCAACACTCTCCGGTTCGCAAATTTGCCACCGAGTAAGTCTGCAATCCATGAGTTTTGTTTTGATTTATTTTCGAATGCAAAGGAAGGGCCTTTTTTTTTTTTCTTTTTTGCCTCTGAATTATTTGCCTGGTTTTAACTAATTTATTGGGAGCTGTTTGTGATTGTGAAGGATAATTGGAGAGATTGGATTGAAGCATGTAGAATTTGTGCCTGAAATTGTTCCAGTTTTAATGTTAGTTTTGGAAGATCGCGTACCAGCTGTTGCTAGACAAGCTATTACTTGCGGAATTAGTTTGTTTCGGGCTACTCTCGAAAAACTTGCAATTCAGGTTTGTTTTTGGTTAACCTTTTGAATTAATTTGAGACCTCATAATTTGATTTGATTAATAATTTAAGGCCCTTTTAATTTGATTAAGAATTGGGTGTGCTATGTGTTAGGGTCTTTATGCTAGTGAGCTGGATGATTTGCTCAAGTTGTCGTGGTCATCGATGTTAGAGTTCAAGGAAAAAATTTACTCCATAGCTTTTCAGGTAAATGGTTATTTTTATGGTTGTACATTTTTGAATTTTCTACATACCCTGTAGTCTGATTCATTGTGATAACTTGTTCTGAAGCCTGGAAGTGGTGGTGTAAGATTGCTGGCACTACGATTTGTTGAAGAAGTCATTCTTCTTTACACACCTAATCCTAATGGCACTTCAGAACCCCCTTCTCATGAAGGTAATAATACATTTAGCCTTACCTTTACTCCTTGCCCAGGCTGCATAACGAGGCAGAATTTTTAGTCAGCTATTGCTGGCAGCATTTAGATGGGTTTCATTTGGTCACGTAGTGTGGTTTCCTATTTTGCAGGAGCAAGTGTGGAATTTAACATATCATGGCTCCGTGGGGGCCACCCTGTACTAAATGTTGGAGATTTGTCAATTGAGGCCAGCAGAAGATTGAGTTTATTGCTTGATCAACTTAGGTTGCCAACAGTGAAATCTATCAGTAACTTAATGATCATTGTGGTTATTAATAGGTAGGCAACAAAATCAAGTTCTATGCTTTCAAACACTATTTTTGGAATTGTTGGGGAAGAAATGGACCGCATGCATTCCTGTACTTGTGATTTCTTGTGCTAATTAAATTTTACTGCTTTATGTTTCCTACCAGCCTTGCCACTATTGCAAAGAAAAGGCCTCCATACTATGGACGCATCCTGTCAGTTTTACTTGGTTTGGATTCCTCAAACTCTGTTATTGAAGGGATGCATGGTTATGGGGCACGTCATGCCTTAAAAAATGCCTTCCTCACCTGCTTGAAATGCAATCACCTGGGAGCTGCACCGGTGTGTCTTGGTTATTATTGTATTTACTTGCATATATGACTTGTTCTTTTTTCTTTCACGGCGCTTGTCTTCATCTTTACATTCAACTAATTTATTGTTGGACCTGGTGCAAGTATTATTTCAAATTGCTTTGGACAATTATAGGTCTTAGAGGAGCAGATATGTATAGGATATTGTTCCACAGGATTTTTTTTTAACACATTATATGTTGATTTGAAGTTTTTATTTCTGCATGCTCTATAGATATGATGTGTTGTACACAAGCTCCTTTCCTCATTTTCATTCAATGTAATTTGCTTTAGAGTTGAATCTATTCTGGGTGTTATTGGGGCAGTTGTGTTGGCATAGTCGAAGTTTTTTGCAATTTAATACTCCAAAAAATATCATGGACTCGGAATGTTTTTATCAGTGAATGCCATTGAACATCCATTTAGAGATTTTCCTTAACATAGAATGCAGTTTATCTGGCCCTCCATATTCAGCATTTCTTTTGCTGCCTAGAATAATTATTGTTACCTGATTAACATTACATGAAATCTGCCCCAGTATGCTTTTAACTAGCATTTGTATGAAACCAGTTGATGATGGGGCTTTTTATGCCTGCAGTGGCGGGATCGTTTAGTTGGTGCCCTAAGAGAGATGAAAGCAGGAGGGTTGGCAGAGGAAGCCCTACACCAAATTTTAAAGAGTAATGGAAGTGTAGAGGAGGTGAAGGAAGATTTGCTAGTTGCAAAGGTACTTTTATGTATGTTTTCAATACATATACTTATGTATACATTGATATACACATATCCTTGTGCACATATAGAATCATACATATGTATGAAGCTTCTTGATAAAGGCTTTGTAATTTTACAGGAAGAAAAAATTGCAATTAAGTCACTTGATGACATTCCAAATAATTTGGTAAGGAAAAGATCTGGACCAGAAGACAGTATGGATTTTGCAAAAGATGATGATGTGTCTGGAAAACGTGCCAGAGCCTCGCCAAGTGTCTTGGAGGAATCATCTAATGAGATGGATAGGGATAGTTTAGCGTCTAAGCATGACATTCCTTCAGATAGACCTAACAAAAAAGCTGATGATAATGGACCTGTGCAGCAACTTGTTGCTATGTTTGGAGCCTTGGTAGCTCAAGGTGAAAAAGCTGTTGGTTCTTTGGAGATTCTTATTTCAAGCATCTCTGCTGACTTGCTAGCTGAAGTAGTGATGGCTAACATGCGCTACCTTCCAACCGATCGTACTCAAGCTGAAGGAGATGATGAATCACTATTGAACATGACTATAGTTGGCAGTGACACTCAAGCCAAGTATCCATCATCCTTTCTGGCAAATGTTCTTTCACTTTCTAGTTCTTTCCCACCTATAGCTTCACAGCTGAATGCTGATCAGTCAGTATCCAAAGAGACAGTGGTATGATTTTCTTCTTCTATAAACTCTCAGACCTTCCTTTTAGGTTTTATTTCTTCCTTGGCATCTGATTTGGTGAACTGTACCATTTCCCGTTTATTTTAGGCTCCCTTTTGTTCCATCTTGCATCCTTTGAAGAATTTGAAATTTTTACTTAAGATTTGTCACAATAAGGTGTTTATATATCTGCAGAAAACCCAAGACGAGGAAGAACTGCAGACAACACAAGACAAGGAAGAAATTCATGCAGCAGCAGCTGATAGTGCTGATGTATATACTGTTAAAATTCATAATGCTGAAGATGAAGTGATGCCCGCTGGTTTACCTGCTTCATCAAATGAGATGGATGGCTTGGCTATTTCATCTAATATCCATGATGTTGAGAATTTAGACAGTGAAATACCTGGTCTAGATTCTTCTGCTCGTAATGATGGATTTTCAGAGACCATGGGTGCTTCTTCATTGGTCTCTACTGATATTGAAGATGCTAGCCAAGAGCAAGGTACAAGTCTAGGTGCAAGGACAAATCTGGAATTGCTTCCATCAATTTCAACTGATAGGTCAGAGGAACTAAGTCCGAAAGCAGCTGTTGCGGATTCCAACAGCCTCATCTCCTCAACTGCAACTTCCTTGCGTTTAAGCCATACTCTTGTTCTGCCGAAGATGTCTGCACCTGTTGTCAATCTTGCTGACGAACAGAAGGATCAGCTGCAAACTCTGGCTTTCATACGCATTGTTGAGGCATACAAGCAAATAGCAGTTGCTGGAGTTTCACAAGTTCGCTTTTCCTTGCTTGCTTCTTTAGGTGTTGAGGTATCAATTCTATATTTTCAAGGATAGTTACTTCATCTTTGCTGTTAGTTTTGATGTATATTATGTTTCCAATACTTCAGTCTGATTACTTTACTACTCTATCTGCATTTTCCTTGTTACTTGGCTGAAATGACAATCCTTGTGTTCTTTTCGTCATTTGCTGCATTCTTGCGAGTTGTAATGATGTATAATCTGGTCAAGCACGCATGCATTCCCATGAACCAGATAACCTCATGTACACATGTTCAACAATGTCAATGAACAAAATAATTGTTGTTTGTGTTTCCAAAAATTCCTCTCTATCCGTCGGTACTTAGTTTTCCAAATTGTCAAAATATAATTTCAACATCTTTGAATTTTTACATGTGGATCTGTACTAGTTTACGAAGAAAAAACTTAACGCTGTAAGTTGGGTGTATATGGATATAGGTGCTCCTTCCACAAGAAAATTTCTCCTCGTCTACTGGATGATATTATCAATCACACAGTAATTTGGAATTTACATATCAACTTTAGCCACTTCTTCAATTCGTGCTCACTGTTGTTTCATTCTCTGTTTTCTCATGTATGGACGAAATTAGTGCAACGATCATTTCTGGGTTCCTTTTTTCCATGAATCTTTAGTGAGAGTTTGTGTGGTTATTAGTTGTCCAATTGTAAACCTTTTTGTTTTTGTCGAACTTTTATCATGCACATGATTTTTATTTGCGTGTTTTCTTGTTTCAGATGTTCAGAAAGTTGAATGATGTACAATAAGTTACAGCCTATTCTACATACTCAGAACTAGTCATTAATATGAAGAACCAAACTATACATATTGCTGATATTTATTTTTACCTTTTTGCAGTTTCCTTCAGAGTTAGATGCATGGGAATTCCTTAAGAAGCACATATTATCAGATTATGTGGGTCATGAGGTAAGAGAATATTCAAAATTTTCATAGCTTAGTTTGGTTCACAGATGCTAACTTCTATTGATCATTAGTTTTAAGTGGTGTGTGTGAAACCTGCTTCATTTCATTTGTATACTGCTATGATCATTGCATAGCAAATTTTCTTCTGTGGAGTTGGAGAGTTGGCATTTTTAGTTTCCTGACTGCATTGATTTTACTGTATTCGTGAAAGTTCTTTAATGTGTCAAGGGATTTTCAGCATGAAAAATGATATAAGATCTCAGTTGTTTAGTTGTATTGCTCTGCTGACGCAATCAATTGCCAGACTGCCATTATTGCTTCTTCTTTTTTAACACTTCTAAGTCAATTATTGTTATTATTATTTTCCTTACATATCTGTACTGTCTGACAATAATTGCTGGGTGCCTTCAGGGACACGAGTTGACATTGCGTGTCCTCTACAGGTTATTTGGTGAGGTAGAAGAGGAACGGGACTTCTTTTCTTCTACAGCTGCTGCTTCTGTGTATGAAATGTTCCTTTTGACTGTGGTTCGTATTTATTTCGCTTATATAATTTCTCTCATTCTTGCATTAGGTATATATATTCTGAAAGAATGAAATTATTTTAAATTGCAGGCAGAAACGCTGAGAGATTCTTTTCCTCCTTCGGACAAATCTATAAGTAGATTGCTTGGTGAAGCTCCTTATCTTCCAAAGTCTATTTTGAGTCTGTTGGAGTCCTTGTGTTCTCCTGGAAACACTGATAAGGCTGAGAAGGAGTTACAGAGTGGAGATCGAGTTACTCAAGGTCTCAGCACTGTATGGAGCCTGATTTTGCTGAGGCCTCCTATTCGAGAAGTCTGCTTAAAAATTGCTTTGCAGGTTTCTTCTTGTTGTCATAGATTCCATTTAATTTCAGTTGAATACCGTTCACATTACAATCACCATTCCCATCTAGGCCCCTTCGCTAGTTGCTGCTGGGGTTCTTGCAGGCTACCGTGTTGCATAGGAATGCTGCTTGGGTGCCCTGCTAAAAAAAAAGAAAAAAGGAAGAGCTTACAAAAAATACATCATTTGAACACCTTTTGATAGTCATCACCATTTTCACTCACGTGATTCGTTACTGCAAACTTTCTCACAAAGTGATGAATACCAGTTCACATTTTGTTGAATTGTTTCTCACTTCATGTCTGGTTAATTATTCACTCTTGTATTGCTATTTTGTTATTCTAGGAAGATATTAATTATTTGGTGAAATTGAGGGCTGGATGATCTTTTACTGCCTATTTGCACTATCAAGGGGTTGACTCCCATTGCACCATGGTGGTGTTCCTGGCTATGTTATCTGTAGATGATTTTATGATTGATCATTTTGTTAATTCTAACTATTGTTTGGGAAGAATTTCTTATTTTCTTGTATATAATTTTAATGTTTTTCTTTTACCTCTGGAAGAGTGCAGTTCATCATTTGGAAGAAGTGCGCATGAAGGCGATTCGTCTGGTATGCAACGCCCAATCACAACTTGCTATTGAAGGAATATACAAGCTTCTTGTTATAATCAGTTTTATCATTCCGGGTTTTTGCAGGTGGCAAATAAACTTTATCCTCTCTCATCCATTGCCCAACAGATAGAAGACTTTGCAAAGGAACAGTTGATTTCAATTGTAAATAGTGATGCAACAGAAAGCATGGATGCTGAAGTGTCAGTATCTGAATCACTGAAGGTATTGGTTTTATGCATTATGGATGTGAAGTTTCACATTTGCAAAATCTTTTTACATCTTTCTCTCTCTCTCTCTCTCTTTTTTCGCTGACATGATTAGAGATTTTCTTTTTCTAAACAGGAAGGGAACTCATAGATTTGTAAATTTCCAATTTGTTTTAGATAAGTCTTACTTGGTTGACAAAGTTACTATGGGCAACTATGTATCTTTCTGCTGTCTCTGCCACGTTTTCTGAAAGTGGTAACAATCTGTGCCACTTGGGAATGTTTCACAGATTGAAACATGCATGATATAAACTGTTAGTTGCCTCTAATTTGCTCAGGTTCTTGTATTAGATTTGGGTGAGGCCTCTTACAAGTTAAAATTTAAGGAAATATTTGAATTATGTAATGTCAGTCACTCAAACATGAACTGGTTGTGTACTCTTTTCTATCCCTAGTAAGTTTAAATACTTGGCATGGGAATGATTAAATCTAATACTTTCATGATGATAGATTTAGCTAGTTGAAGTGTTTTATGGTGGAATCCAGTAGCTCAAAGCTTAGTCTATTACTTTCTTTTTCTTAGATCAATAAATGCACCAAAAAGAGATCTAGTTATAATTTTGCAATTTAACAGATGGAATAATATGAAAAACTACGCCAATTTATTGCTTGCTTTTCCTAAGCCAGTACGTTTCTCAGTTATGTTCTAAGTACATTTTTAACAGGATATCGTTTTGGAAAAACCATCAGATGAGCATCAGTCTACGAGTGCCATCAGTAAAGATATCTCCTTGGAGACTCATCAGTCATGCGCATCTGAAAGCGTATCATCACTTTCAGTCTCTGAGGCCCAGCGGTGCATGTCACTGTATTTTGCACTGTGCACAAAGGTGTTATTTTTTTATTTAATTCAAAGCCTTCTTATTTTAAGTGTCCAGCAGTTGAAGTTGTTATCATTAAGACAAGTTAATATTTTATATAGGAATTTTATTCTCCTTTAGATTAGATTAATATTTTTCCTTTCGATTTGATTGACAGAAGCACTCCCTTTTTCGCCAAATTTTTGTTGTTTATAGAAGTACATCAAAGGCAGTTAAACAGGTCTGGTTGGTTTGTGTTGCATTTTACTTTGTGGATGCTTTCTTTTTATTCCTGCTATGACCTCCTCATTATTTATATGGTGCAGGCAGTTCATCGGCACATTCCCATACTAGTCCGTACTATGGGTTCATCATCTGATCTTCTTGACATAATTTCAGATCCTCCTAGTGGAAGCGAGAATCTTCTGATGCAGGTGTGTCAGTCAATTATGTAAAAAGCTTCACTCCATTGAAGTGGTAACATATTGATGCTGATTTTGTCCTCTTTTCTTTTTTCCATTTTCCCTCTGTACATCAGGTTTTACAAACACTGGCGGAGGGGACAGTTCCTTCTCCAGAATTGTTATTCACCATCAGGAAGTTGTATGATTCAAAATTGAAGGTATGGAACTATGCTGTTGATTTACTAGTCAATATTGATTGCATTTTTTGTAAAGTAAAAAGAAGTGAGGCTCTTGGCTAATTTGCGTTTGCTTTTGATTTATTACAGGATGTAGAGATCCTAATTCCAATATTGCCATTCCTACCCAGAGATGAGGTCTCTCTTGTTTATTGCTTTGTATATAATCATATCATATAAACGCATCTCCTTTTGTGGCATCCGTATCTTTCTACAACATGGATATTCTATGCGTTGTTACTGTCAGTTCATTATGTTTGATGGGCTTTCAGTAATAAATAAAAGAGGCAACATTTTTTTTTTGTTCAGCTTTCCCATAGTACTTGTGATTCATCATATTAAATTGGAGTCTATTAGGTCCTATAATGTGAGGAAGGATTACATGGCAATTAAGCGGTCAGATTTACTGCCACAGCTAAATAATAAAGGCCCATGACTTGTATTGAATAAAATAATGACTGTTTAAAAGATATGTACTGCTCTCAAACATGATACTACTGAATTGGAATTTACCTAATTACTCAGTCAGTGATAAAGAAATCAACGGTATTCTTTTCTTTTTGTCTTTTCAATTAAACAAATCTTTATCGGTGCTTACATGACAAGATGGTTTGACAGCAGTACTTATCTTTTTGCTAGAATTGTTCATCTTCTTCTTTCCCAGCTTGATTGACAGATTCTAGTACTTTCATCGTTTTGAAACAATTGACTGTTTGAGAGATGAGCTAGAATTGTTCTTCTTCTGTCCCAGCATGAACTCTCATCTTCTTGCTACATAAGAGGAGAGTGTACTGAGGTTTTGTATTTGGATTTGTATTCTCCTCTTTCTCATAATTGAGATCATTTTCTTCTGATGCATTATAAGAATATCGGTTTTGTATTTTTTATATTTTCTATCAGCCATCTCTTCCTTTACCTGTAATAATTTTAATTGCTTATTTTCCAGATTTTGCTGATCTTTCCCCATCTAGTGAATCTTCCTTTGGATAAGTTCCAAATTGCACTTGCTCGTACACTACAGGTATTTTTTTTTTCAATAGAGAAAAGGATCTCCTTTTATTTGTTTTCTCTTGGTATTTTGAGTGATTTCATTTTATAATCATGTACTTCTTGTCTACCAGACTGGGACCCTTGCTTTTTCCACATTAAGCAAAGTTTTGCCACCTGTCAGAATATATGACAGGACTATTTAAATTATTTTTGAACCTTGCAATACATTTTTGAATTTGTCTTGGTATTTTGTACGATAAAAATTATGCCTCTGGTTTAAGCTTTCTATTGCATGTGAAAAATTCAAATCAATAATGGAAGATTTATGAGTCAAACCATAAGCATTGCATTCTCTGTATTTGATATTTATGTTTCTGATTGGTCACCATTTCCATGGATTTATGGGCCATCTGAAAGCACACTTGTATAAATTTCTTTGTGGAACTCTTTTTTTCATCATCATATACATCAATTATCAGCATCTAAATTTTCTCTTTTCCATTTCATGTACTTGTATGATGCTCTATCATATCCTGTTGGTGAATATGGGCCTTTTCTCATTGTTTCTTGTTTGCCCCTTCCTATAAGGACTTCCTTTATTATGGGCAAGTTTGGATTTTGGAGTGTGCTTGTAGAGTCTGCTCTTTAATTTGATCGAATGCTTCTCTAAGTTGTTAAATAACATGATGTAAATTCAGGGATCATTTCATTCTGGTGCGGTGCTCTCCCCAGCTGAAGTGTTAATCGCCATCCATGGTATTGATCCTGACAGAGACAGAATCCCCTTGAAGAAGGCATGTCTTCCATTATTTATTCCTGCTTTTGTGGAATTTATGAACTTGATCAGGTGCGCAACTGAGTGATGTACTTCTGTGTTCAGGTTACAGATGCTTGTAATGCTTGTTTTGAGCAACGACAGATATTCACTCAACAAGTTCTTGCGAAGGTCTTGAATCAGTTGGTCTGTATCATTCCTGACTTTGAACTTGTATTGAAAAATCCTTAAAACTGTCTATGGCTGATGTCACATTTGAACAAGTTAATCCCCTGCAGGTTGAGCAAATTCCTCTTCCTTTATTATTCATGCGCACGGTACTACAGGCCATAGGTGCTTTTCCAGCATTGGTAAGAAATTCACGAGCAAATATTTAAATAAAAAAGCCAATTTTTTAATATTAAAAAAAAAAACACTAAAAGAACTGAACTTTTTACTATTCATTTACTGTAGCTACTGACCCATTAACACTATTCATTGAAGCCCGGTTTTGGTGTAATTTTGCTTCTCTCTAGTAGTTGTATGGAAATCATACAACCTCTCACGCTTTGGTCCCTGATATTTTCAAGCTTTTATTTCGATCCTGGATTTTGTGTGTGTGTGTGTGTGTGTGTGTGTGTGTGTGTGTGTGTGTGTGGGGGTGGGGGTGGTTGTGGACCCAAGGGCTGGAGAATCAGGCCCAAGTGGGCGAGGCTAGCCTTGCGCATGGGCCTGGCCTGTTTGTTTTTTTACGTTTTCTCTTCCAACAATTTATTTTTATATATATTTTTTTCATGTAATTGGGTGTGAAAATTATAGAAAACATATCATTATTTTTTTAATTTTACGTAAAATTTGATGATGAAGAAATATATATGATATGTTTTAAGATTTTCGGTTGAGCATATATATCATATTATATTATTTTTATTGTTTAAAATATATTTTTTCAATTTATCATTTCTTATTGAAATTCTCATAAATTTATTTTTTTAATTTTTTGAAATAATTTTATTTGTTAAGAAATATATATATATATATATATATATATAGTTTTGTTGAAAGTTAACGAGTGTATCGCACACATAATATCAATTATTTTTTTTTATGTTCTAAAATCAATATTTTTCGAATAAAATAATTTAAATAATGTTTTGAGAATTATTGAAATATAGCTTTTTATGCTAATATTATTATTTTTTTTGTTAATAAATATATATAAATCAAATGATTTTGCTCAACAATTACATTGGATTTACATCAATCATAAGAAATAAGACTTCTGTCCGTAATGTACTATACGAATTGTTGACTTTACGCATGTAATGGTTGCTCGATCGTAGCATAGCATAGGTATCCAACTAGTGTTATCTGGAAGAGTATTATTGCTTAACCGATGAAATACAATTGGACTGATGAGGTGTTACTAATGTATAGTGCCTATTGGTGAGATGGATGTTACTTGGTGCAACTATTTATCTACAGGTTAAATTAAAACGGGCCTCAATATGTTAATAATCAATTCATTATTTGTAACTATGCCAAGATTCAGAATATTCTTAAGATCATGATCTCTACTTCAAAAAGTATGGCTTGAAATACATGCGTATGCTTCTAACTGTTCAGAATATTTGAAGACTGAAACTGTTTTCTTAGTTATGGAAACTCACTCGTGCTGTTTACATGTTGTAAGTGGCCTGGTTGCCGCTGTTAAGTGTTAACTACATTCCTTTAGAATTTTGTGAATTGACGCCTCCAACCCCCTTCCCTTTTTTTTTTTTTTTTTTTTTTAATAATATTTGGACACAATACTCTTTGAATCTTGATATGTGCTTGACAAGGCTGTTTCGATTGTTGCAGGTGGAGTTTATTATGGAGATCCTTTCTCGTCTTGTAAGCAAGCAGGTGAATGCTTCTTCACTGTAGGCTTCTTGCGAATGACTTTATGATCATACTTATTTTACAGTTGATTTAATGGGCTATTGCAGATATGGAAGTACCCGAAGTTGTGGGTTGGCTTCCTGAAGTGTGCATTCTTGACGAAACCTCAGTCATTCAATGTGTTACTTCAGGTGCGTTCTCTTCTATTTGCTTGCTGTTGAAAATTTGTCTACTTTAATCTAAAACCAGAGGGATGCTACGAACCAGCACCTCAGATATTTAAATGTCAATCTCCTTTCTATCTCAGAATGTAACTTATGCATTTCAGAAGCAAATTTTGATATTAAATCAATTTGACAGCCTCTGTTGTTTTGTCATACAGCTTCCTCCGCCACAGTTGGAAAATGCACTTAATAGAACTGCAGCATTGAAAGCTCCTTTGGTTGCCTATGCTAGCCAACCAAACATTAAATCTTCACTTCCAAGGTTTATGATACAATCTATCTTGCTTGTGTATATATAGAAGTTATATCTACAATTGTAAATAGAAGAAATCCATTTATCTTTCAGCTAGCTTTTATTTTATTTTTTTCCCCCTTCTGTTTCTGACTGTAGAAGATGCATTTTGGATTTTGCATTTTAGGTCTGTTTTGGTAGTTCTGGGAATAGCTCCAGATCCTCAGACTTCAAGTCAAGCACAGACATGTCAGGCTCAAACTGGAGATACAAACAACTCAGACAAGGATGTGACAGCAGAGAAATCAAAAACTGGAGATGTGACCAACTCGGATAAGGAGGTGCTGACAGAGAAATCTAAAGAATCTTCTGTCGCTAGCTGAATGTCGAGAAACTCAAATATTTGATGAGTCAAAAGTTGTGCTCCAAAGGAGGTTGCTGTGCCTGCCAAGCAGCTCCAAGCTTAGCGCTTGGACACACCAAGTTCTCCGAGTTTTCAGATGTTCATGCCACTCTCCATGTCTGCAACAGAATGAATCAAATTTTGCCCCATCTTGTGTTATGCTGATAACTTCTGCATGGATCACAATATCCGCTGCACAAGCTGAAGATATTCACTATCAGGAAGTATTTGGGGCAACATAGAACAGAGAAATGAAATTTGTGTAACATTTTCTTAACATTTGAGTTTAAATAAAAGCTGAAGGTAGTAGTTCTTTTTGTATTTTTAGATAGTTCTGTTGCTCATATTCGGGAGTTGCTAATATCGAAGATGTACATAAACAAAGATCTGTGCCAGTAGACTATTTCTTCTGCTTTGGCAAATAGCAATAGCGTTTTCAGAATACAGAGAGTCCATTATGTCAATAACAAGATCATCAAGAATCAAAGATGTTTGTTGATTTAAGCTGTTAACAGCCACTCCCAAGTAAATGCTTTCCACTACGACATTGACCAGATGCTGTCTCGAATTGACACAATTTTATTTCCTTCAAACATGGTTTTAAATCATGGCATTTATATAACGTAACAGCCATTGGTTAAAAATCAAGTATAAAAAATTAGAATCTGTAACAAAATAATTCGTAACTCGCAACTCATTGAACAATATTACCTAAACAGCCTATTCAATTAGCCTATTCATAGTCGTCTTTTGGACCTTCGTATAGATGCAAAAATTAGATTAACCACTCAGGTTGCTAGTACACTAAATAGCAAATGACCAGCAGAAAGAAAGAATCATAACTATTCAATCATTCCACAATGTTTATACAAGGGCAGAGACCACAATTCCTAACAGAACCCAATTCCCAAAACCTTCAAAATCATTTATACTACTGACTATGCCTAATTACAAAAGAATCAGAGTTTGCTCAATCCTGGTAAACCTGCTGTGTGACTTTTTTTTTAAAAAAGAAATGTACCATTGAGTTCCTCCAAAAACAATACAAGTCCCTTCAGTAGCACCTGTTCATGACAAGGGTAACATACACGAAATGGCAATATATCACAGCAAAATGCTACCATGAAGATGTGTTTGCTCAGGTGCCTGTGCAAGAATCAGAGCTATTACGCATACAGCTTATTTGTTCTCACACTGTCAAAGCAGAAGCAGGAATGCCATGCATTTGAAACCATTCAGGCATGTGGAACCTCTCGTAAAGTACAGGCCTTACATCCTTTTGCATTGATAGGTTTTTGAGGAGTGGGAGGATAACATCCAAAAGCTGCAAAAGCCAAATGACAGAAACAAACAGAAAATGAGGTGAATAAGATTTTTTTAGCATTAAAAGCAGCAAATTCTTTAATTCACTGAGAATACCTACTTGCTCATCATATGGCAATCCAGCAGAGAATGGAACACATGGTATTCCATTCAATGGTTGTAGCAAGAAACTGAATGGGTTGTTGTCAACAATCACAACACGAGAGAGATCTTTAGATAAACAAGACAGATCCTTCACATGTTCTCGATATTCCCTGTGATTTACACAATGTTAAAGATCAAAGATCATCAGCAATTTGAAAGCAAGGTCTTCAATCTATATGTGCATTTCAGAATCCAATAAAATGACCTGCATGGCTACCAATCTAGGAGTCATGCAAGTGGCAAACAATGATATGTGAACTAGAATTAGCTGTTCCACTAAAGCTATTTCTGAAATAAATGCTGTAATCAAATCCTCTCGCTGGCAACCCAGACCCTAAAAACCATTGATAATATTCTCATGGCCGGTTCCAAAATAATCAAACAAGTTAAAATACCATAATATCAAATATATATTGCCTCAGTGTGAGGGAATAATATTGTGGGTACAAGCTAGCTTAATTAGTATAGTAACTTGATGCCATGCCAATTGTATACTAATAGTTTAACTTGGGATCAAATCCCACTCACTCCAGAAGGAAAGGATTATTTAGTATGGTTGCTTGATGCCATACCCCACGTGAAGCCCAAGGTTCAATGAGACCCTCCATAACCAAAGAAGAAACAGAGCAAACTGACTGTAACCAACCCATCTATTTTAAGTTAAATTTATCTTCGCTGAGTTTAAAGATGGAACCTATGTGATGCTCTAAGGAGTGACTAGCAATCTAATTCTTCCTGTTAAGAATAATCTGTTCTGCCACTTGATCCTAATATAAGAAAGTAAGTTTGCTTACAATATCAAAAGGTTGATGCCACACCCCAAATTATCGAGTCCAAGGTTCAATGAGTGTCTCAATAAACCAAGTAACAGCACAAACTGGTTATAACCACCCATCTGTTTTACATAAAATTTGCTTTGCTGAGCTTAAAAATGGAACCAGGACTGACCCTTTTTTTTTTCTCTCCCTCTCACACACAAGATATACGAACAAGAAAAGAAAGAAAAGAGGCCACCGCCCAGTAGTCATAATGAAACAGGGTTTTTGAAAGGAACTTTGGTAGAAGCCCAACCCTTCAACAATTATTTGCAAGGTCTGTTAGGCTCCAAACCTGCAACCTCAGCACTGAGCTCAAGACTTTTACTATGGAAGTAAACAACAGCCCAATCTTAAACCAGAAGAAACAGCCACATACTTTCAGATAATATATAATGCCAAAGTTCTAAAAGATAAAGCTTGAGCATCCATATCCTAAAAAGAGATTCTTAGAATCGATGGTGGAGCATTGTTCTGTTAAGAACATCACCTCAGACTGGATATTCTATAAATAAAGAGTAAATTGCAATTCACTGGCTTGAGCATCCATATCCTAAAAAGAGATTCTTAGAATCGATGGTGGAGCATTGTTCTGTTAAGAACATCACCTCAGACTGGATATTCTATAAATAAAGAGTAAATTGCAATTCACTGGGCACTTACGTGCTAACAGTTGAAGGTCGATAAAGACGTTGACTAAATCGGTTCTCCACATCTATCCTGTCAAAGAGTGGTCTGGCATAACCTGTATGAAGTCTAAACACAATAAATAAAAGGATAAAAAGGAAAAGAATAACAGTGAAGATCAATAAAACTAACAGAACAACACTACCTTCAAGACCAGCGGTAAACAAAATCAGATCTGCAAATTCACCAATCTGTTTCAAGAACTCTTTCAAACCAGGTCTTTCAAACACTGTCACATGATTTATCTTCGGTTTTCCTTCATCATCCTTCAATCCAGTAAGATCGTGTTAATATGTAGGATACTGAAAAAAATCAAAGTATCAGGTAGAGAGAGAGAGAGAGAGAGAGAGAGACTTTCTCTGAAGAGAAACATTCCAATTCGAAACACTCCACCCCTGCCTCTTCTGCTTGGGTGCGAATAATGGCTGGCAAGCTAGAAGTCTCATATGAACAGATTAGAGTTTCATCCATGTCAAGCACCACCTATATTTACAGAATAAACTGCATTTACATAAATTTTTATTTAAAACAAGTAAACTGTCATACTTTCAGCTTGTAGCAGATTTCTAGACACAAATAACCCATTCTTCCACAACAAAACTTTACCTAAAACAACCACTATCACTTAATGCAACACAAAACCTCCCAAATTCAATCCATAACAGTTAAAAGTATCTAACAGCATGAATTTCTCATTCATCATTTATTACTACATTTCCGCAAAATGTCATTCATTTTCTGCAATCTACTACAACCAAACCATCTCAAATTACACCCCCCCCCCCCCAAAAAAAAAAAAAAAAAAAAAAAACCTAAACGAAACCCTCAAAAAAAGAGAAAAGAAAAAGGAAAACAGTAAAAGAGAGCACGTACAGTGAGTTTTCCAATGGCGCCATCATCACAAGCACCAGAATCGCAGACATCATCAGGAACACAACTGCTATCATGTGCCCTGTCTGTGATCTTCTTCGACGTGGTTTCTTGCAAGGGAATTTCAATAACAGGCAATGGCTTAAAAGAAGGAGAAGAAGAAAGAAGAGGAAATGTGAAACCAATATAAGAAAGTAAAAATTGAGCCATAGAAGGAGTCCCTCTTAAAATCTGTAAAAACAACTTTATTATAAACCCTAACCAATTCATTATCCCTCTCCATACTTCCACCACTGATCTTGACACACACACTTCTCCTCCTTGTTGCCCTCCTCCTATTTCCTCCATCATTACCAACCCACAATTTGTTCTCTCTCTTTTTTTTTTCACGTCAAACAGAAAAAAAAAAAAAGAAGTAATTTAAGGACACAGACAGCCTAGGTTGTCTTTCTATTTTGCGTGCGTGTCTTTTGGAACATGGTTTGTGTCGTTTGGGCAATGGAGGAAAAATGTCGGCGGTGGGCTGGAGGCGACTTTTCGTCGCCTGGACTAGAAGTTTCGTTCAAGGCGGAGAATATTTGAATAAATTGAATTGAATTGAAGCATTTAATCAAGAACAAACTGAACTAATTACTATTTGGTTAACTATGAATTAGTTCTCCTATTTTTAATTTTATTTCATATTAATCCTTGTCATTTAAAATTTCTAATTCTGCTTTGTTATTATATTATCCTTTAAAAATATGGAAAAGGTTGTGCTTCGTTAGTACAAATAGTTGGCCTATGCTTTGATTAGAAAGTTGTCTTTTGATGCTAAATATCAAAAAATAAAAAATTAGAGTTGGTCTAAATATAATTATTGCCATTTTTAAATTGTGATATTGTAGATGATCTAAAAATTACTAGATTTCTCAAAAAAAAAAAAAAAAAATTAGAAGAGTAAAATCGAAAGAATACATTTGATATTATTTGATATTAGAAGGTCTTTTATTGATTTTTAGTATCTTAATTTCTTAATTAATTATGCATATCTTCATTAATATCTAATTCCATCTTACTTGATTCACTTTATACACACACAGAGGAATGAAAAAATAAAAAATAAAAAACACTATGAAAATTGACATGTTAAACAAAAACTATCAATTAACAAAAAAAGAAAAAAATCTAGGAAAAGTATACCAAATATTCAAAGTCCTCTTTAAGGGTAAGCATTTGATTTTTAACATTTTGGTTTAATTTTCGGTTAATTCAATTTATCAAATAAGAAACTAAACTCAAACCGAATTTCTATTATGTTTTTTCTATTTTCAAAAAAATGATTTTTTTAATTTTTATTTTTACAAAATAATGTAAATAGGTAAAAAAATATTGTGTTGCTGACATGAAGTTCTTCCTCCAGTCCAAATAATCTAAATTAACTTATATGAAAAATAATAAATATTTGTTTAAATAAAATTAAAGCACAAGGATGCTAATCTACATCTAAAATAGACAAAGATACACAACCATTGATTGTTCAACACATTTTATAAACTAAACTATTAAAGTTCAAATAATAATAAAAAATCCACATATATTCTAAATAAAATTTTATTATTCTATTTTATAGAAAATAAACCGAAACTCAATAACTAAAATTAATTTGATTTTGATTTTTTGTGAACCAAATTTAATTAAAAACCAAACCGAATTGGTATTTTTATTTTGGTTCACTTTGATTAATCAATTCTAATCGAATATTGTTAATCTCTAATCCTTTTATGGCTTTGATCGTAGCTGGATCATGAAATATGCATAATTATTACATTTTATAAGAAAAAACAACAAGAATAGACAATAAAAAAAATTTGTGAATCAACCAATCTTGCTATCAATACCAATTATTGATAGATTGCGCCAATCTAATAACTTATATTGAATTTTACTCTTTTGTTTTTTTCTCCTTGATAAATAACAATTCTTCTCTTGTAATTCCATGAATGTATAGTTTATCTTTACAGCAACTATTGTTGTAAGATAAATATTTTGTTGTCGATCATTGTACTTAGAGACTCGGGATAAATTCTTTTTATGTAGGATTTTTGTATAAAGTTCAGTATCATATAAGAAAATAAAAACTTTAGTTTTTTGTTTGTAATCATTTACTTTATTTTGTTTTCTTCAACAATAAATGATATTTTTATACTCGTTATAAAATAATGAATGTCCATATAAATGTCCATCTACTTTTCATATCCCTACTATCCATGATCCTTAATGTGATTCAATTCACCATTCAATATAAGAAATTGAAAGGGTGATGCAATTGATGTACTTTTAATTATTCATAGTCCCTTTCAATTCTCATCTCAATTTTGAGGCCTATAAATAGGCTTGATTGTTCATTTGTTGATGTACAAGTTTTCTAGAGAGAATAAGAGAAACTTTGAAGTTCTTATCACTCATATTCACATTATAGTGATTTCATTTTCTTGTCATCCTTTTATTCAATTCTCCTATCATTTCTATTTATTTTATAACACGTTATCGACACGAAGTTCTAACCAATCGAGATAATAGACCATGAGGTATGTATCTATCAAAACACTTAATCAATTGTTTCAACCATTGGATTTCTTTTGCACAAGTGCTCTATCAAAAGATCTAAATTATTTAGATCATTAAGAGGTATATATCTAATTTATTCATGTACTTTAAATCTATTGATACTTGAAATATATATTTGAAAAATTTAAATGATTTACTAATGATATAATATATGTTATTTGAAAAGCTTTAATTTTATTATTATATTTATTTTTTAATATTATTATTATATATTGTATTATGAATTTTTATCATATCAACCATCACAAAACTTGATTTTGTGGTCCTTGACATTTTGGGCAAGAATTATTGATTATGAGTGCTTGATGCTAAGTTAATATCATCTACTTTTCATGCCTCAAATATGCTCCCGCAATAGCATATCAAGATCATCTACATTTCATGCTTCGAATATGCTCCTGCAGTAGCATATCAAGAAAAAGAGTTTAAGAAATATTATGAATCGATTTCATATTTGCTAATGGCTAAATAAAATGAAAAGCTATTGATGAAAAAGAATAAATCTCATCCAATTAGATCTATTCCATTCCCGAAGTGAATGTTACAATTTATAATAATTTTAGACATGAATGAAGATGTGGTCATAGACATGGATATGGTGGAAATAATTATCATTATAATTGTAATGACCATAATATTACATCTCACCACCGAAGTGGATAACTATGAAAAAAAAAGAAATAAAAATAGATAAAGTCAGTATTCTGAAGAATAAATATTATAGATGTGGAATGAATGAATATTGATCGTGTACTTGTCGTACACCAAAGCACCTCATTGAGCCTTGTCAAGCCTTATTGAAAAATAAAGAGTAAAATATGAAGGCCACTTTTATATATCAAAGTAATAGTAATTGAAATTAATTATTTGTTAGTTTTTCTATTTATAAATAAAATATTTTATATTTATTATAATTTATGTCGTATATTGATGGTTACAAATTTATTTTACTATTTATTTATTTTGTTTATGTTTATGAGGCATATATTGATTTATTTATTTTGTATTGATTTATTTGATTATTTATTTTATGTTAATATTATATATGATAATATCAATCTAATAGAAAGCTCTAGAAGAGCGACTATATTATTATCTAAAGAGATAGATTTTAAAGGCTCTAGAAGAGCGATTATATCATGATTTGAAGAGATAAATTTTTAAAGCTCTAGAAGAGTGAATAAATTATTATTTGAAGAGAAAATTTTTAAAGGCTCTAGAAGAGTTGATATATTATTACTTGAAGTGACTAATTTAAAGGCTCCGGAAGAGCAAATATGTTATTATCCGAAATGATAAATTTATTATGAATGATGTACTATTCTCTTCAAAGTCTCATAGAAATTTTTCGAGTTTCAAATATATTTATCTAAATGGACATTATATTAAGACGACAAATGTCAAAAATTGAATTCTTAAATATTATAATTATATCGGATAGAAAGCATGTATTGGAGAAATTATTCGCTTTCTCATCTATTCTTTATTACCAACATTGGAATGCTTGAAAACAAAATATATTATAGTAAACTAGAAGTTTACTAATTCAAATACTTTTATTATGTAACATGACCGATTTTGCTATCTTGGCTATTTCATGATGCGAAAAATTATTAAAAATTTATATGGATATCTATCGAAGAGTCGAAGATTCTTCAATTTAATGAACTTTCATGTTCTGCATGTTGCTAAGATAAATTGATGATTAGGCCATCATCAAGTAAAATTGAGATTGAATCTCCAGTATTTTAGAATATATTCAAGGTGATATATGTGGATCAATTCATCCACCATGTGGACCATTTAAATATTTTACAATTTTGATAAATGCGTCCACAAAATGGTCACATATATGCTTATTATCTACTCGAAACTTGACGTTTTCAAGATTGCTAGCAAATAATTTGATTTTGAGCATAATTTTCAAATTATGCCATTAAAACAAGTCACCTTGATAATGCCGATGAATTTATTTCTCAAGTATTAAATTATTATTGATTGGCTATTGAACATCCCGTTGCTCATGTTCATACTTAAAAAGGTTTAGCAAAATCATTTATCAAAAGGCTCCAATTGATAGCTAAACCATTATTTAAAAATAAAACTCCTCGTTTATGTTTGGGGATATGCAATCTTACATGCAGTAACACTTAATCGCATATGACCCATAAGTTATTAGAAATTCTCTTATCTTCAATTGATTCATGGTCATGAGCCAATTATTTCTTATTTAAGAATTTTTGGCATTGCAATGTATATCCTTAGTGCATCCCCGTTGAGAATGCTCATATTAGAATTGATGTCCCGAAGGACGATCTATTAATGTTATAGCTAATAAATCTATAGCACGCCCGAAGTATGATAGACCGATCGGTTCTAAAGATAAAATTCCTAAAAGAAAGGGGCAAGATAAAAATATAGAGAATGTAAATATTCATAAACGAGTCCAAGATATTTCGATAATAGGCTTCCCAAAGAAATACTTGAGAAAAATCAAGAGATTTTGATAAATTATATCAATGCAGTGGAGAAAATAAGACCGAAAAGAAACATCTATTGATAAGATTTTTACATATAATATTGCAATTGATATTATGGATGAAAATAAGGATCTTGAGCCTAAATTATTGAAGAATATCGACATAAAGATGATTGGCCTAAATGAAAAGAGCAATCTAGGCAAAATTATGTTCTCTTATAAAAGAGTAGTTTTTTGAACCCATAGCTAAAACACCCGA